TCATGTCAACGAGAAGGTATGCAGTGTAATAATTGATGGTGGAAGTTGTACAAATGTAGCTAGCACTAATATAGTGGAAAAATTGGGATTAACACTATTAAAACATCCTAGACCCTATAGATTACAATGGTTAAATAAACGTGGGGAGGTTAAGGTGACAAAAAGGGTGTTGATTAATTTTTTCATTTGGAAGTATCATGATGAGGTGTTATGTGATGTTGTACCTATGCATGCGAGGCATATTTTGTTGGGACGACCTTGACAATATGATAGGAAAACAATTCATGATGGGTATAAAATTAAATATAATTTTGTGAAAGGGGAAAGTCTATCACTCTTGCGCCATTAACACCGGCACAAGTGTATGAGGACCAAATCAAATTGAAAAATGAAGAAGAAAAGAGAGTGAGAGAGTTAGAGAAAAAGAGAGAAAATAGTGAGGTGGCCGGTGAGAAAGAAAAAGGAGTGGGGCCACATGAGAGAAAAGAAAGAGAGTCTCCGAGAGGAGAGAAAAGCCAAAAGTGAATTTCTTTGCAAAATGGAGTGAATTGAAGAAGGCGATAGTGGAGAGACAACCAATTATTCTTTTGGTATATAAGGAATCACTCCTCAATTTTGAGGAGTCTAACACATCCCTCCCTAGTTTGACTACTTCTTTATCACAGGAATTTGACAATGTGTTTTCGGAAGACGTGCCTAGTGGATTGCCACCCATTAGGGGGATCGAACATCAAATTGATTTCATACCTGGAGCTGTCATTCCAAACCAACCAGCTTATCGAAGTAATCCGGAGGAGACAAAGGAGTTTCAAAGGCAAGTGGAGGAGTTGATGAGCAAGGGATATGTAAGGGAGAGCATGAGTCCAGGTGCTGTACCCATATTGTTGGTGCCAAAGAAAGATTGGACTTGGAGGATGTGCGTGGATTGTCGAGCTATCAACAACATTACGGTAAAGTATCGTCACCCAATTCCTAGGTTAGATGACATGTTATATGAATTATACGGTACTTGCATCTTTTCTAAAATTGATCTTAAGAGCGGGTATCATCAGATTCGTATGCGGGAGGGTGATGAATGAAAAACATCATGTAAAATAAAATATGGGCTGTATGAATGGCTAGTTATACCCTTTGGACTCACAAATGCACCAAGCACTTTTATGCGATTAATGAACCATGTTTTGCGTGCTTTCATTGGAAAATTTATTATGGTTTACTTTGATGACATTCTAATCTATAGCAAGGACTTAAGAGAGCATTTAGAACATCTTAAATGTGGCTTGTGGTTTTAAGAAATGAACGACTTTATGCTACTTTCAAGAAGTGCACATTTTGTATGGATAGAATCATATTTCTAGGATTTGTGGTGAGTGCTAATGGGGTTGAAGTTGATGAGGAAAATGTAAAAGCTATTAAAGATTGGCCAACACCTAAAAACATAACCGAGGTTAGAAGTTTTCATGGGTTAGCTAGTTTTTATATGAGATTTGTTAGGGATTTTAGCACACTTGCCACACCACTTACTGAAATTATCAAAAAGAGCGTTGGGTTTCAATAGGGTGTAGAACGAGAACATGTATTTAACACCATCAAAGAATGTTTATGTAAAGCACCTGTTTTAGCACTTCCTGATTTTGACAAAACTTTCGAGATTGAGTGTGATGCATCAGGATTAGGTATTGGAACAGTTTTGATGCAGGAAAAGAGACCGATAGCATACTTTAGCGAGAAACTGAGTGGGGTAGCTCTTAACTAACCTACTTATGACAATGAGCTTTATTCTCTAGTTCAAGCCTTGGAGACATGGCAACACTACCTATAGACGAAGGAGTTTGTTATTCACACCGACCATGAATCATTGAAACATTTGCGGGGTCAAGGTAAGTTGAACAAATGACATGCACTTTGGATGGAATTCATAGAGACTTTTCCATATGTCATTCGATACAAACAAGGTAAGGAAAACATAGTAGCCGATGCATTGTCACGAAGGTATATGCTTCTTACTTCTTTAAGTGCGAAATTACTTGATTTTGAGTATGTTAAGGACATGTATGAAAACGATCTTGATTTTTCTAGCATCTACAATTCATGTAATAAGGGGGCAATTGACTAGTTCTTTAAGCATGATGGGTATTTGTTTCGAGAAAAAATTATGTGTTCCTAATTGCTCAATGCGTGAATTGTTGGTTAGGGAGGCACATAGTGGGGTTTAATGGGTCATTTTGGGGTAGCAAAGACTTTAGAGATGTTAAATGAACACTTTTATTGGCCTAAAATTAAGATTGACACAGAACGAATTTGTACTCGTTGCATAACTTGTAAAAAGGTTAAATCAAAGGTTTTATCCCATAGACTTTATACACCTTTATCGGTACCTAGCGAACCTTGGATTGACATTTCAATGGATTTTGTGTTAGGTTTGCTTAGGACTAAAAAGGGGCGTGATTCAATTTTTGTTGTGGTGGATAAGTTTAGTAAAATGGCACACTTTATACCATATCACAAAATCGATGATGCCACTAACATTGCGGACTTGTTTTTCAAAGAAGTAGTGCGTTTGCATGGTGTTCCCAAAAGTATTGTGTCTGATAGGGATGTTAAGTTTCTTAGTCACTTTTAGCGGGTCTTGTGGAATAAGTTATGCACGAAATTATTGTTTTCTACAACTTGTTACCCAAAAACCGATGGTCAAACTGAAGTAGTGAATAGAACAATAATACAACTATTGCGCACTGTGGTTAATAAAAATCTAAAGAATTGGGAAAAATGTTTGCCTTTCATTAAGATTGCATAAAATAGGGCCACGGATTCTACTACATCGTTTTCACCATTTGAAATTGTTTATGGTTTTACTCTTTTTACATCCATGGATTTAATACATTTGCCTATGAATGAACGAGGTAGCTTGGATGGGAAAAATAAAACCGAATTGGTGAAGACACTCGATGAAAAGGTAAGGGAGTAAATAGAGAGAAAGAACAATCAACGCACAACACAAGCAAACAAAGGCCGAAAATATGTCACTTTCGAACCGGGAGATTGGGTTTGGGTGCATTTCAGGAAAGAGCGATTCCCAGAGCAAAGAAAATCAATTGCCACGAGGAGATGGACCGTTCCAAGTGATTGAGAAGATCAACTACAACACTTATAAGATAGATCTTCCAGGTGAGTATAGTATTTCTGCAACCTTCAATGTTTTTGACTTATCTCTTTTCGATGCGGGTGCAGATTTGAGGTCGAATCCTTTCGAAGAGGGAGGGGATGATGTGATGCAGGAAGCACAAGTACCAAAGTCAAGTCCAGAGTCGAGCCCGAGAAAAGATTCGTTGATAGTCGAGGGGCCGATGACGCGATCGAGGGCCAAGCGCGTGAAAGAGGAGATGAGATTGCTCGTCAAAGCAACGGTTGATGAAACAATGTTCGGGATGCAAAATGGAGCAAGTTTCGTTGGGGACGAATGCCGAAGAGTATTGGATCAACGTGTTTAAAGCTGAAGAAAACGGAGCTGGAGCATTAAACCATGCGGCCACACAGGTCTAAAGTCCTGCGGTCGCATACACCCAGCAGAAGTCCCAAAGTCGCAGACCAATTGCACTATGCGACCGCATGCTCTAAAGCTATGCGACCGCATAAGCCAAGTCCGAGGCGAATTTTTCCAAATTTCGCGTTTTTTTCCTTATTTTAATAGAATTTCATTATTAGTAGATTTTTACCATAATTAGGCTATCGTTGACGAATTTTGCATTATTCATAGATATTTTTCCTAGTTTACTTAGGTTCTCTAGAATAGTATAAATACTTTATTCCTTATTGTAAAACATTACAACTCTCATATTATTAAATATTATTCGTGAGACATTAATTGCTTTCCCTCATTCTTCGTTGAACAACTTGTGAACTTATCAAAATTAATCTTGTGGTGTTCAAATCAACCGGGTGAGATTCATTTAAATTGCGTAATCAAGAGGTTCGCATATTGTCGACGATTTAGGTTGCTTGGTTCTAGTTTATTGGGTTTAATCCAAAACATTGTTTTTGGTTTTCTTGGGTTTAATTCTCAATTTATTGTGGGTTTGGTAGTGATCGAGCTACGGGGGTTCGCATAATCTTTCTTCATAGTAATCATGCCAGTTGATGTTTGATTCTGCTGAAAAAAAGATTTTTAGTAAATTATGATTAAAAAATTGATGAAATGTGTGGATTAAAAAAATTGAAGAAAATTGTGAATTCCATAAAATACGTGATTAAAATTGAATTTTAAAATATAGAAAGAAATAGGGTCGCATATTAAACAAATTTGTATATTAGAGTATTTTCAAGATACTTTTTAAATATAAGATGTTATCTATTTTAAATAGTCTACTTTTAAAATTATGCTTCGAAAATCTTCTTGGATTAATATTTTAATTTAGAGAGTGGGTTTGACTCTTCAAAATTAGAGAGCCAAACTCACTCTCTGTAATTAAATGTATTCAAGGTTTGTTAATTTTTAATGTAGAAAAATAATAAAATAATATAGAATAAAGCTAATGAAAATAAAAGATACGGAGTACTTAAACATTTCAACTCTATAAATTTATAGATGTTTTTCAAATGGTAGAATATGCTCTTTAAACACAGAGAATCTCTTGAAAATGCTCTTAGTACACACATACATGTGTAAAGCATGAGTGTAACCATAGTCCTTAACTTTTACTTGACCATCACAACCAAAGACGTGTTATCATAACACCAATTTTATCGTAAAATGAAATATAGATATGAGTAGCATGACAACTTATAATTTGGCTTAAGATCAAATTTATTTCTCATCTCAACATGTATATTTTGTCCCATTCGACGAGCTAGCTATTGCACTTTATTAAGCAACTTGCTCAAAATATGATGGAGAACTTGTGTTTTACAAATGTTTCTAACACCGTGATGATTTCTTCCATGACCATTGCATTGTGCATAAAAAATTGACAAATTTTAATCATTAAGAATCCAAAAGGAAATGGACTCGTAAAAGTTGGGGTAAATGATGCCATTTCCACTTTGAAATCAAAACGACATTACTATTCCTCGTTACATTATAACAAAATAATAAAATCAACCAAATGATTAATAAAGCACAGAATCTTTGCCCACTAAAATTATACTCTAAACTTGTAACACACTTTCAAGTGATGCAACCACATGACATAACCGTTACCTGAGAGAGTAATATTAAAATCACAATTACAGCAATAATACAGAAATTAGCCAATTAATCACGCATAAACATAATTAAATAACCAAATTAACAAGCACGGAATAATGGAGATCCACACAGGCAGTCATTGTTGGCAAATGATGAGGCCTCGAGGTGATCGAATGGCGACCCGAGTGGAATCGACCCGCAAAGATGATTGTGACTTAGATCCAAGTGCCCGATGTACTTAGCCGAAGACATTGATTTTGGAATCAAACCCCTCAGATTATTGTATGATAAGTCGAGTTCCGTGAAGTAAGTTTTCGGACCAAAAACATCGGGCAAGTAACCTTCTAACGAGTTTCGACTCAAGTTTAGAATGTTTAAACCCGAGTTGCGTAGCAAACTTGACGGTATCTCGCCGGAAAGTTTGTTACTGTCTAAATTTAGAGTCGAGAGGACCGGCATTGACCCCAACTCGGCCGGGATGGTACCCGTCATTTGGTTCATTGATAAATCTAGATCAGCTAGCCTAAATATTTTGGAAAGAGAAACCGGGATTGAACCGGTGAGTTGGTTTCGGCTCAGTAATGCACGGCTCATCATGGATAGTTCGCCGACGTCTGATGGAATCGTCCCGGCAAGTTTGTTGCTGCTGAGATCCATGTGCATTAAGCTGTTGAGGTTAACAATGGAAGTTGGGATCGAACCTGATATTTGATTATCAGCCAGGTTCAACACAGCGAGTCGACTCAGCTTGCCAATATCCGCTGGAATGTTGCCGGAGATTTTATTTCCGACAAGGTCAATAATGCGGAGGTTGGGAAGTGAGGTTAAGCAAGCCGGGATTTCGCCTGAGATGTCTTTCCAGTCGGCAACGACGAGGGTGGTGAGACGGTCGAGCTGGCATAGGGAAGGAGAAAGTGAACCGGTCATGTAACCAGACCGACCTGCTTTTTCGAAAATTGGGTCCTCGGATTCACCCCGTAGGGAAATGTCGGCAACCCTTTTAACTTCCGGGTCGCAACTGATGCCGTACCAGCCGTTGCAGCAGTCGCTGCCAGTCCAAGTGTTGAATATGCCCAAGTATGGCTCGCTTAGTTGCTTCTTGAATGCTAGCAATGCTGACCGGTCTGCCGGCGGGCAGCCATTGACGGTGAAGATAACGGCTAGCAGTACAGTAAGTTTGAACAAGAAATCTCCCGTCAATTTCATATCTCTCTCTCTCTCTCTCTCTCTCTCTACATCAATGTAGCTGTGTGTAAATATGCGGTTCTGAGCTGAAGTGTGTGCGACTGTGTTTAACAATTGAGGTGATGGGTTCGTACACTCTAGTAATATAAGTGCAATCAGGACGACAATGCCCCGGGAAATGGGAGGAATTGGTTTTTCAAAAAAAAAAAATTGGACTATGACAGTTCATGGAGTGGGTATGGAATGGCGTGGAGTAGGGTAAGGATGAGGTCGGTTATGATACGTTTATATAATATTTACAAGCATATAAATGGTTTCTGGGAGTGCATTTTAGAATAGTAAATTATAGAAAATATATGGTTGAAAAATAAATAATTTTTTTGATTTACGTGTAATATTATTTTAATGAGAATGTGTGGTTGAAAAAAAGAGAGAGAAAAATGAATTTTAAAAAAATGGATACCAAATGGGGCTATAATATTGTGAGATATAATTAGATCAGAAATTTTTCAATTAAATAAAAATATTCATTTTCTTTTTTACATCATGTAAGTGCTTGTTTGATAAGAATTTTGATAATTGATTTTTTTACCATTAGAGATAAAATAGGTTCTATATGTGAGAGAAGAATTCAAAAATAATGACTGAAATAACGAAATAACGATGAAAAAATTGATTTTGTTTGACTTAAAAGTTGTACCAAACAAGATCTAAACTAACTCTATCACGTGCATGGGAATTATTAGGAGGATTCGGTACTGCTGAAGTGAGTGTAGGCTACAGTGATTGTGTTTACTTGGTCAGAATTCAGCCAAAAGTGAGGCTTATTTGCAAAAAAGGCCCCCAATCTATGAGCAGTATGTAGAAACAGGATATATCCTTCCAATCTTGACACTGACATCCTCGTATGAACCTAACTCTTTCTGTCACATTCTGTTTATTGATGGTTAAAAATCAATTTCTTAGCCTCCATTTAGGAAGAATATATACATAGTTTCATTTATAAATGGTTGTAAATGAATGATGGATAAGTTCAAAATATTTGCGAATTCATTCGATGTGATTAGAAATGAAGTTTGATTATTATAAATTTTGCATAACCAACAGAAAGAAAAAATAAAAACTAGCATATACTTTTAATTGAATAAGTTAAATATAAATATAAAATAAAATTGAAAAACACCAAGGAATTCCACCAAACTGCCAATACCCTCTCCCCTTTGGCCAATATTCAAAGTAGAGTTGGGCAAATCTCCTGAACCGAATCGACCGAGCCGAACCGAACCGAACTCGACGGTTCTTGTCAAATTAAATACCCGAACGGGTATCTGAATTGAGAACTGATGGGTACGGTTCGGTTCTCGGTTCTAGACCAAGAACCAAAAAATCGAATAAGAACCGAATCTTTCTAATTTTTTTTTATATTTAGTAAATCAAATTATTTTAATTTTAATTTTTTCTAAACGAATTAACAAATTAACGATTTCTAAATCCAAATTTTTGGCCCAATAATTTGTTTCATTTCTAATTTTTTAATTTTTAGCCCAATTACTCATTTTATTGTTTCATTTCTTAGCCAAACAAGATCAAATCCACTAAATAACCTTAAACACCTACACTAAAGTGCATAACGTTGTCTCGATTCTCGCACTCACTCTCGCAGCCTCGCTAATAATCAAAACCTATACAATCGTCGGGCGACACTGTGACCTCCGATCGAAACTGTGACCTCCGTCGACCGAAACTTTGATCGTAGCGATCATTTGAACAAGTTAGTTTACTAGTCTCTGACATTCAAAAATCATTGAATGTATCAATAGTTGTATTTATATAATGTTGTTCTAAATGTTAAAAAATTTAATTATAGTACAGAACCGAACGGAACCGAACTGAACCGAACGGAACTGAACCCGAACGGTTCCATAATTATATTTGGACCCGACGGTTCTATTTACTAAATACCCGAAAAGTTTGGTTCGGTTCGGTTCTCTTTAGAACCGAACCGAACCGACTCGCGCCCACCCCTAATTCAAAGTTCAAACTCCTTCCGTTTCTCAAATGACCATCAAATCTTCGTAGAATCAAGATTGTCGCTACAATAATATAGAATCAACCACTCATATGGCATGTGATAGGCGAATGAAAACGGCTGATTTTGGTGGCGGTATAACCAAGTTTATGCCATCTAAGACGAATAAGCTTGCAATTAATTATCCTAGATTTTAATTTTGGCGAGGATTCTTGCACTTTGTTCATTTCAGAACAAGACAGAGTATCTTTGTAAATATTGTAAACTTTAGGGAAAGTCTGATCAGACTGCAAGAATATAAGGGTGTGTTCTCTTTGTTGTTTTTGAGCCGTTTTCTATTTTCGATTTTTCAAAACGGTGAAAACGAAAATGGTGAAAACGCATTATCTTTCCCGTTTTTGAAAACAGAAAAAAAAAATTGTGCTGAAAACACAAATGATGTTTTTATTGTCTTGGATGTTTTCTGTGCAAAAATTGAAAAACTTGAAAACGCTTGATCAGACTGCAAGAATATAAGGGTGTGTTCTCTTTATTGTTTTTGAGCCGTTTTCTATTTTCGATTTTTCAAAACGGTGAAAACGAAAATGGTGAAAACGCATTATCTTTCCCGTTTTTGAAAACAGAAAAAAAAATTGTGCTGAAAACACAAATGATGTTTTTATTGTCTTGGATGTTTTCTGTGCAAAAATTGAAAAACTTGAAAACGCTCCCATTTTCAAGTCTCCCGTCTCTCTCTTCTGAAAGTGGTTGGATTCCTTCTTTTCCTTCGCCAGCTATGGATGCTTGTCTCTACTGACGGTCGAACGGAGATAAGTTGTAGTTCCTCGCGATGTGGTTGATGGAGGCGACCTATTCATCACTGAATCTGTTTGTCAGCCGCGAGTTTGCTGTGTCGAATTTCTGCTGTAGATTTCGATTTTCTGTGTTGTTTGTTGTTATAATACGATGTGTGGACGCACCTTGCTAAGCTTGATCGACCTGTGGGGTATAATTAACATGGGCAGCAACTGAGTTGGTCGAATTTGGTAGAAAACCATGCGTGAGTGGCTGTTTTTGGACGATAATTGACTTGATTTTGTTGTCATTTGGGGTTGTTGTTTGTGTAAGGTTGGTGGGGATTGATGAGGAGATGGTGTTGGTGCAAAAATCCGATGGCGTCGGTGGCCGGAAGTCAGGTAGTGGTCGGTTTGTGAGGTGGAAGACGGCAGCTCATGGTGGCTGGAAAAGAGAAAATGACAATTTCGATTTCCAAAAAAGAACACGTTTTTAATTTTCATGTTTTAAAAAACTTTTTTCCAAAATGACAAAAAGAATGTGTTTTCAACAATTTCAAAACAGACACTCAAAACACAAAATTCAAAATGAATTCAAAATTCAAAATTCAAAACTTAAACACAAAGAGAACAACCCCTGAACTTTCGTGATTATAATATTTGAACATAGTTTATGCTTAAATCAGCAAGCATATACAAGTGTTGGAAATTTAATTCATTTATTGTACACCTTAATATTTAACTCAAACCGAGTCGTGTTTATTCCTAGTCGATATCATTATTATTTCAGTTTGGTTTTTTGAGTTGTGGATATTTCTGATTGTTTGTTTATTGCCTACGCACTATAAGATTAGAAGGTAAATGAAATCGTGAATATTATAGAGTTATTATGAAGAATTAAACTCAAATATTGTAAATGTAATTCGCTACCGCTATTTATGCTTTCACCTCTTTATTTTGCATTCATGTATTAAGTCAATTCTTGTACCTTATTTGTGGTATAAATGTTATATGTACTAGGAAATTTATGAACGTGAAATAACCTTATGTAGGTCCATTTGACTTTTCAACTTCATTATTGGGTTGTTGGGATATTTTGGTACTAACATATTGTTCATGTTTTCTACATCTAACTTTTGAGATTTTAATTGCAATACACAAATTAAGAATTTAATTGCATTTAATAATTTACTAATGCATTGCATTGTGAAGAAAAAGATTAATTATAATAGAACTTAAATTTCAAGAAATTTTTTATGAAAGGTAATGCGTATGATAGCTAGAAAACACGAAATTTACGAACCACCTTTTAGTAACTCCTTAATTCCTTTAGGATACCGATAATTGAACACATAACTGAGAAACTTGAATTTTCTATTCAAAGATGCTATTAGAAGGAAATCTCAATTATTCCATGTCAAAAATTTAATCTAAAATACTAATTTGAAACTTACCATATGAATATTTAAACAAAAAAAAAAAAAAAAAATCGGAAAACCCGTGACTTCCATACACTAATTTTTATAAATATGGACAATCTTCGAGAAATTTGTTTTATTTGGTGAGGCAAAAGGCAAGGTTCCACGTGTGATCGTGGACAATTAAACCGATTCTTATACCTACCAATTAAGATGGCTTCCTTTTAGGTATTGTCATGTATGCCATGTGATTATGAATCTATGATGCAACTGCACATACAAAGATGTAACTTTTATCAATTGGACAAGTCCTAATTTAGTATGATAAAGTACATAATATCGACTTCGACCAATGAAAAAAGAAATTGAATATTTAATTTGACGTATCAAACAATTTATTAGCATAAGAAGCTAGTAGTTGCCAATTGATGCAATTGTAATCGAGCTTTTTTGAGATTCTCCTATTGACCATACCATTTTTGTGTCAAACGTAATTCTATATATGAGCATGAATTTTGTTCGGTGCTGCATTTCTAGAATGTGAACTGTCCTATCGATATGGTAGGAAAATAGCTTATAAAATGAGAATGTTTTGGCATACTTTTGAGTCAGACCCATTTCTTCGTTTTGGAAGAACAAAGTCGATTGATGTTTTCTTTTATGAGAACATCAAAATCATATATTTACTTGTTAAAAATAATAATCGAGTGAATGAGAAATTGAGGTTGAAATAGATTGAAAGAATTTGTGTTGAGGGAAAACTATTTTAATTTGTCCCAAAGAAAATTAACAAGACAAAAAACTAATTTATTATAATTACATTTTTGAAGAGTGTAATCACATGTAATATAAGGTTCTCTTCACGTGTGCTCGCAGGGGATGCAAATGAAGAACCGAATTAACCCTTTGAGCCTTGACCTTGGTATCTG